CCCCCCACCCCCTAGCCTCCCTCCCCGCGTGTCTAATGATTTATACATGGCACAAGTCATCACAGCAGCCCCTGGCTTCAAGAACAGCAGGCTTCATTCCTAAATAATTTCATTAATCATTTCATTCCATTGATGATTCATCGTCATCACAATTAATGATCAAATTCCACAGAGGGAGAATTAAAGGGCATCTGGATCATGAACTTGGTGCATTTCCTTCCACACTTTTAAAAGGCAGAGATTTATGGGATTTTTATTTATATATATTTTTTATCCTTTCCACCTTGCAAGTAATACATGTCACTGTAGAGAATCCGAAAATAATGGAAACATGTAAAGACGAAAATAAAATTCTGCTGTAACCTCACCCACAGATCATCTGCCTTCGCATTTCACCTTATTTCCCTCTGTTTTTTTCTCAACCCATTCATAAGAACACTCATATGTCCCCCTTCATTTTGGGCCACAGGTAGTCCTCCCTCTTCCCCTTACTGACTGCACACTACCCACACTGGTTTTTTAACACCTCAAGCACAGTCCCACCTCAGGCCCTTGGCACATGCTGTGCCCCCTACCTGGAATACTCCTCTCCCTCATCCTCCCCCTTTGGGTCTCAGCTCAGCATCCCCTTCTCCAGGAAGTCCTTCCTGACCCTCCCCCTCCCACCCCAGGCTGGCACTGGTGGAAGCTCTCTGGGAGTCTTTGACAACATCAACAAATCTCTTAACCTCCCCGAGCCTTTGTCATTTCGCGGGTAAAATGTGCTCTTTGTGAGGATCACAGAATTGTAACAACAGGTATTGTTTGACGAAAGCATGTCCTGAGCTCTTTCTTCACAGGTATAGAAACTGAGGCTCACAGAGGGGATGAGGAAGAAATCACTCACATGCTCCAGGTCTCCCATTTCCTCCGGTTTAAGGTCCTTCCTGAGGAATATAGTCCTTGCCTTTGTGGCCCACTCTAGACCCAAAGAGGAGGGTGGGAGAAGATCTTTAGGGCCCCCGGGAACTTTCAGCCCTTGTGAACTCCTAGGGTGACTCGTAGGGCCTCAGTTTGCCCTCTGTTGAGGGAGAAAATGCCTGGCCCCCCTTCCTCACAGAGCTGGAGAGGGGTTGTCCCTCAAGCTTGTTTAGTGAGTTCCAGCCTCAGGGCCTTTGAACTTGCTGTTCTTGCTGTCTGGAGCACTGTTCCCCCACTTCTCCCAGTGGCCAGCTCATTCTCCTCTTTCAGATTCCTGCTCACATGTCACTTCCTCAGAGAGGTCTTCCCTAACCTCAGTGGCCAAAGTCACGCTCCTTCCAATCATTCATTTGTTCATTCATTCATGTCATACCATCACAGGGTACCTACTGTGTCCAAAGGTGTAGGTGCTGGGGACACCGATCCCCGCCTTTCAAAGCTCACAGCTGGCTGTTGGATAAATAAGTCAACATGATCATTTCTAATGGGGATGTATTAGGAAGGAAAACTATGGTGACATGATAGGAGGTGACATGGTGAAATCAGAACTTCTGGAGGGAGGTGGGTGTTGATTGGAGATCTGAAGGGGTTGAGAGAGCCAGGCACAGGAAGAGCTGGGGAAGTACCTGGGGAAGAGGACACAGCAGGTGCAAAGGCCCTGAGGCAAGGTTGCACCTGGAACCTCGAAGAGGGAATGACTCACCGGAGGAGAAAGATGAAGCAGTGGGATGGGATCTGAGAGGGTTTGGGGCCCTTCTCCTACGCAGCTCTGTTGCTCGGACCACACAGAACACCTCCCCTCAAGTCTGTAGTCCCCACCTCCAATTCAACCATCCCTAATTCCAGAGCCTTATGCTTATTCTTAACAATTAATCCTTCCATTATTTTTATCTTAAAATACAAAATCCTGGGACTTCCCTGGTGGCGCAGTGGTTAAGAATCCGCCTGCTAATGCAGGGGACTCGGGTTCGAGCCTTGGTCCGGGAAGATCCCACATGCCGTGGAGCAACTAAGCTCGTGCGCCACAACTACTGAGCCTGTGTGCCACAACTACTTAAGCCCGCGCGCCTAGAGCCCGTGCTCCGCAGCAAGAGAAGCCACCGCAATGAGAAGCCCGCGCACCGCAACAAAGAGTAGCCCCTGCTCGCTGGAACTAGAGAAAGCCCGTGTGTAGCAACGAAGACCCAACGCAGCCAAATAAATAAATGAATAAATACATAAATAAAATAAAATACAAAATCCTTTGTGCAGAAGCTGGTATACATTGGTGTGGGCTTTTACCCTTTGGGAAAAAAATAAGTGGGTATTTCCGATCGACACCCACGTACAAACCCGGAAGCATGCATTTGGGAGGTCAGGGAGCCTAGCTGCCTCGCACGCACGCCCTCCCCTCCACCTGGGCGGCGCCTGGAGCCACCCCCTCCCAATCCCCCACCCCAAAGCGGGAACTCGACTGCTGGTCTTCCCGTGGGGAGAGATTGGAGGTGGATTTATATTTATTCATTATGTTTTTCTGAATCTTCCCAGTTCTCCGCAGTGGGTTTGTGATACTTTTATAGTCTGAGTGAAGAGGAGGGACAAAAATGTTATCCTTAGAAAAAAATAGATTTCCCAACTGCAAGGAGAGCTGGAGGGACGTCTCCGCACTTCCGGGGCGCTGGGGGCGGGGGTGGGGGGAGTGGGCGGCCTCCAGGCGCTAAGTTATTCTGGTTTCTAGGCGCCTCTGCAGCTGGCGAGCTTTTTATAAAAAAGACAAGCCCCGCCCCTCGTCTCCTGAGGAGGAATCAGGGAGATCAGAATTTTCCTGGGGCCACACGCCCCCTGCCGGGTGTGGGGACCGGAGTTGGGGCGGAGGGCAGAGACCTGGAATGGAGGCTAAGGTCTCGTTCTTCCTCCTCTCCCCCAATTCTGACTTTTTCACACGAAGACGGAATGTGACGGGTCACCTTGGACCCCAAAGTCTCCATCTCTGAGTCTCATTTTGCCAGGGTGGAGGAGGGAGGACTCTCTGTCCCTGTCTTTTTAAACTCAGGAACCAGGGAGGGGTAAAGCATCTCCCACCCCTGGTCTTTATTGTTGGGTCTTTGAACCTCGCTCGTATCCTCCCTGTTTCCCAGGTTTTTTACCGCAGACTTTGCGAGTTTAAGGGACAGGCCGTTTTTCTGCCCTACTTCCGCCATTTCGTTGAATTTTTCTCTGGAAAATGGGGAGCAGGAAGGAAAGGGGTTCCTGGAGCGTTCGTTAGCCCCTTCCTTTTTTCTGGAAATTGGTGGGGAAGGGTGACTCTCTTGATCCCAATTTCTTCTTTCTTCATCTCAGAAACAGGGTGGAGCATCTACTAGCCCGGCCCCTTTTGGGGGTCTTACAGCTGAAATTAGACGGAGTCGATCTTGACCCCTATTTCCGCTTTTTCTTCTTTTCTACTTATGTTGAACCCAATAAATAGGAGACGTGGAGCATCTTCTCGAACCTCTGTTCCTCTTTTCTGAAATTGGGAATAGGGAGCGTTTAAGGAGAGGTCACAGCACCCTGGACTGAAAGGGGACCTCCTGAGTCTCTGACCTGGGTGCATGGGGGCGGGGAAGGGGAACACCCCCTGAAGACCAGGCTCAGCCCAGGCCTCAACCTCTCGTCCCTTCAACC